TTGCATTTTAAAATATTTATTATTATTTTTTAACCTAGGTCAAAGCTGCTGTCTGGCAACATCCCTTAAGCTTCTGCTGGTGAGACTGATGATGATCTTGTGATTCCACCTTGTGCTGCAAGACAGTCCGTAGATGTCATGGCCACATCACAATCTGCAAGTGAGTCACGTTCTTCAACTCCAAAGACTGCTGACTCCATCTCTTTAACATTCACTAACAAGATGGATCAGTTCTTCGAGATGCAGAAGAATTTGATGGAGCATATAGTGAGGCCCAATACAGACCGCAAGAAAGAAGCCTTCATAGAATACGTCAGAGAATCCATCTATGACATGCACCCTACAGTGTGGGAGGAGATGCAGAAAGTTATCATGAGAACTGTCTTGATATTTAAGGATACAGACTTTAAGCGAAAAGAGGAGGGTCCAACTTCTGAACCGCTGGCAGGACACTCTTCTGCTTCATCCTCCTGTTCTTCACTTGCTTCAGCGCCTTAGCAGCCACCCCCTAACATGTGGCACCCCCATGTACAGAAGCCTGTCAGTGTATGGGGTTCCATGGATCTTTATTATTATGAATGATAAAACAGCAAATTGCATTTAAATACATTTTAAGTATTGCAAAAACTTGCTGGTTACAATTAATGAATAAACATATAGAACTGGATTTACATAGTAATTGTTCATTGTCTATCAATCATTCTGTCTTGCCATGGTACACTTCCAGCTGGACAGTTAAAGTATGCCCGCAAATAGTCCCTGTGGTGCTTGGCAACAACTGTGTCTCTGTTTCCCCTCTGAGATACTTCAATGTCTGGTAAGTTAGCATCTTGTCTCCATGACCCTGGTATGAGATTGTGATCAGCATCCTCTGTATCCAGATGATCATTCTGTATGACAGTGTTTCTGAGACGTATGAAGTTATGACGGCAGACACTAGCTTCTATGATGGTCTGTGCAGTGCTTGGTTTCTGCGGAATTAGTGGCAAGAGAACCTGCCATCTCTGGGCCATAATTCCAAAGGCATTTTCAACCACTCGTCTGCCTCTAGATATCCAATAGTTGGCAATCATTTCTTCTCTTGTCATGTTACAGTTACGGGAAGAGTATGGCTTCATGAGGTATGTGCGTAGGCTAAATGCATCATCTGCCAATATGAAATATGGAAAGACCTTGTCAGCATTTGGCAAAGGTTCGGGTTGGGGAAATCCAATGGATCCATCTTCTAATGCTTCTTTCAATTCTGACTGATTGTAAATCTGTGCATCAGACTGCATCCCATACCACCAACATCAATCCAGAGAAACTTGTAATCTGCATCAACAAGTGCCATGATTACAACTGAATAAAATCCTTTGTAATTGTGGTACATGGATCCACTGCGTGGAGGTCTAATGGGAACATGTTTACCATCTAGGGCTCCACGAGCATGTGGGACATCCCAGCGTACTTGGAACTCGTTAGCAATTTTTTCCAAGTGTCATTGTCGACAGGGCAGCTATGGATGAACAAAGATTGCCTTAGAGCTATAAAATTTAAAAATAAAAGTTGGAAGAAGTACAGTAAAAGTAAAAGACGATCACGACCGGATGAGAAGGTTAGATGGAAGAAATTCGTTGAGGACAGAAACCTTGCAACAAACTTAATCAGAAAGACAAAATCAAACTTTGAAAATAAACTGAGAGATGAGATCAAAACTAATGAGAAAATTTTTCGGAATTACATTAAAAGTCAGTAAGAGCCGATCAGGAATTCCAAGTTGATTTCAGAAAATGGTGACTCTAATTCTGATGATCATGGAAAGGCTAATTTGTTGAATAGTTGTTTTTAGCAGTGTCTTTTCAGTCGAGGATTTATCCAATATCCCTAAAATTCCTTCTGTGACTGATGTTTTATTGACTAGTGCTTTGTTTTTTAGTGAGGAAGAAATTTTAACTTTACTGTCTAATTAAAAGTTTGACAAACCTGCCGGACCTGACAGTATCCACTCTAGGGTATTGTTTGAACTTCGCTATGAGCTTTCTTTTCCTTTATCAATAATATTTAACAAACTTTTGAATGAGGGTGCTGTACTTGCTGTATCTTGGAAAGAAGAGTGGGTCAGCTTTTCTAAAGAAAGTAAGAACAGTCCATCTAATTACAGACCTGTTAGTCTAACGTCTCTTGTTTGTAAGACCTTTGAGTGGATTATTTGTGTTAAAATTATGGATCATTTAGAAAGTAATAGTCTGTTGTGTAATGAACAGCATGGTTTTAGGAATGGTCGGTATTGCGTAACCCAGCTACTTGAAGTCCTTGAACAGTGGAGTACTAATATTGATGAATCCCGTAGCTTTGTCTTCATTTACTTTGAATTTAAGAAAGCTTTCAATTCCGTCCCGCATCAACGATTATTTAAAAAAAAATATTTAGTTTTGGTATTCGTGGTAAACTTCTTACTTGTATTGGTGCATATCTTTCTGGTCGGACACAAAGAGTTTCTGTAAATGGGAATTTTTCTGGTCAGTCTTCAGAAATTAGTGGAATTCCGCAAGGGAGTGTAATTGGGCCATTTTGTTTCATAATGTTTATTAATGATCTACCCTCGGTTACAGATTCAGAGGTAAAACTGTTTGCTGATGACAAAATTATTTAGAATTGTGGATTCACATGAGGATAGTGTAAGCTTACAGTCAGATATTAATGCATTATGTGAGTGGTCTAAAAAGTGGCAGTTGCCCTTTAATTTTATGCTTGAGGCGGTGGATAACGAAAAAGATTTGGGCGTCATTTTTTATTGTAGCTTAAACTTCGCGGTGCATGTTGCTGACATCTCAAAAAGAGCCAACATGAAATTAGGAATGATTAAAAGATCTCTTCGTTTTCTAATAAAAAAGGCTTTTAAATTTGTATAAATCTATTGTGAGACCTATTTTAGAGTATTGCAATGTTGTATATTCCCCAAGTTTTACGAAAGATTAAGACCTTCTTGAAAACGTACAGCAGCGAGCTACTAGGATGTTTCCTGAATATCGTCATCTCCCATATGAGGAAAGATTGAAAACCCTAAATCTTCCAACACTAATGTATCAAAGACAGCGTGCAAATTTATTGAAAGTGTTTAGAATTGTTCATGGTTTTGATAATATTTCTAAAGATTTTTTTTTATTCTAATACTGATAGTGTCACTAGAGGCCATTCATATAAATTAAAGCACCATTACTCTAGAACTAATCTGAGGAAAGAGACATTTTCAAGGCGAATTGTTAAGGTTACTCATAGAGCTCCTAATCAGAGCTAAAAATGGCTGCGTAGTTACCGCGAGGGCCTGAAATGCCCGAAGGACAATTTTGAATGCATTAAATCTAACCTAAGTAAAATATCGCCGTCTTTTAATGTTAGTTTTCTTAATCAACTGTTGTAGCTGCAGTCATTGGTTCCTATAGTGATATGATCAGTATACAAACTGTGTGCTTGTTAAATACGTGTCTATGCTGGTTTGTGCTCCTGCAGTACGCGTTACCTCAGAGAGCTAGCGACGTTACACATCAGCAGAGCAGGCCTATAGTGCGGATACGATGAATAACTATTGTCAGAGACGTATACAAAGGGAGCCGTGGGAACTGCGGCTCCCCCACCCTCTCCCCCCACACACACACCATTTGTACACAGTGTTAAAATTTTAAAGCTTGTTCTTGCTAGCCAATACAAAATCTTTCCATGGATCACTAAAAATGAATACTTCTAAACTATGTAACATAGTTGTGCTTCAGCACACGTTATACATAGGCCTACTAACACATAGGCCTAAGCGTGATTTTTTTAAATATTTTTAAATCCACAAATCCCAGGTCACGTCTTTTCAGATACAGAAATGTGACATTGTATGGTTCAGTTTGGTTTTTATCCTTTTGCAAGCTGTTTTGCAAGCTCTATAAAGTTTTATTTTAATAGTACAGTACTGCACAGTACTACTTTTAGTTATGATGACGATGATATGATGATGATGATGACGATGGTGATAATAAATAATAATAATAATAATAATAATAATAATAATAATAATAATTATATTATAATAATTATTATTATTATTATTATTATTATTATTAAGTGAAGAAAACTGTACTAAATGCGAAAACGTAAGTTGTGATTTCTTGATCATAATTATTAGAATATAGTTAAAGCTTAGTAAGATATAGCAAAGATAATAAATATCAGAAGATAGAGCAGCTGCACAAAATAGTGGAAAATCCGGTCGAAATGCATTGTGGGTACTTGGAGAAAAATTCTACTGCATCCGCGCTATAAAGGCGCAGCTCTGGTTCGTTTGTTTCCTGTATTTTCTCCACTTAGTAAAATATTCAAGGAGGGCGGATGTTCCATCGATTTCAATGCAAATACGTGGAACAGCTCATTCTTCTGCTATTTAAGTTCTTTGACTTAGGTTAGATTAATGCATTCAAGAAAATCATTCGGCCCTTGCAGACCCACAGAATTGTTTTCTTGCATTTTAATCTACCTTAGTATAATAGTTTCCCACTAGTGTATAAATACGCAACTATTCTAATTGCTTATTATTGTTTGTACTCTATCATTGTTGATATGTAAAAAAGAATAACAGAAAAGTGTTCGACAACTACATCAATATTAACAATATTATCAAAATTATTTGATATAATGGATCATTCCGCATTGTCAATCAAACTGAACAACTGACCAATCAGAATTCTATAAAATTTAGGAATGACTACTATAAAACAATAAAATTAATATAGCCACTGTAAGATCAGTCTGTATCATTAAGTGTATTAACTGGAATTAAATCTCCTAAATACTGTGTAAACCAAGTGTGTTTTAAATTTATCTTGTTTCTTTGAAATTGATGTACAGTGTTTGTACTGTGCTATCTCGAGAAGAAGCCCATGGGCTTCCTTTTTGAGATGGGCTTCTTTTCTATAAAGTGTGGGGAGGCTTCAATTCGAGATGGGCTTCTTCCCGAGTTTAGGCCCATTGGGCTTCTACCAAATATACGTACCGTCTTGACAAAATTCACCGCGGTAGAAATCGGTGCACGCACAGTAGTATCCCTTTGGTGAACAGTCATTTCGGCAGGATGCCCCATTGAGGCACGGATGACCCTGTGCACAACGACCAACGTAGCTCTAAATACAACAGAAATTCCAACTTCAATTATTACTTACAAATATGTTAAATGTGTACATTCGACTTTCACAAATAATTCCTTATTTTTAAAACTCACTCTGGTATGCTTTGCCTTGTTGATTATTATATAGCTTAAGATTTTGTATTGGTTTTCATTTATTCATTTATTCGGTCACCATACAAAAAATGGAAACCTCATAAAATTGATAAAAAGTTAAAAATAAATATAGACATTTTTAATTATACTCCTTCGATAATTGGAAGGTTCTGAATATTTACGAGCTGAATTTGGCTTTCATTCTATCCGTTTTATATATTTCTTTATTAGCGTCAGTCTGAAACGATCAATATTCAAGAAGTGCAGCTGTTTTTCGTCTCACGTATGCCTAAATACAGGTATGGTATATTGTCACACCATTTTTGTATCCTGTTTTTTCATTAAATAAAAAGTGTAGGCATAAAATACAATTATAATGCATCTAGGACCAGTCAACTATTCATAACTATACCTGGTCTCTAATTGGTCATCACATTCAATACTTTTATATGTGGTGTTCATGAACATAAAAAGAATTTTAAATTGGGTCACCAATGTAGATTTTTTTATTAAAAAGTGAATCCAGGATCATACATCATAAGTCTTATTCAAATATCTATGTAAACGCACAACGTCATTATTAATGTTCTTCCCAACAGATTATGTACTATGAATCTAATACCTTATTGCCTTCCCACTGTTTATTGAATAATATATCCCAATGTTACATCATTTACAGTACATTGATTTCTTCATTGCATTTGACTGCGATGATCACGACTTTCTTAGCAAATTCGGTATTTCTGTTAATTCAATTGCCTTTCAAGTTATTTACAACAAAGGGTTACATCAAACCAGGAGTCACTCAAAGATCAATCCTTGGCCTCCCCCTACTTATTTTCAACCTGGTTATAATAATCTTTCCTACTGTGTATAATATCCTGCCTCCCATACTTATTTTCGACCTGTTTATGTCAATAATCTCTTCTCTTATTCTAGGCCCTATACCGTATGTATTTTGTTTGCCGATGATTTTCAAATTATTTCGCAATCTGATACTAGTAGGCTGTGGGGAAGATCTGGAAACTTTGGACAGCTGGTCTAATTGAGGCAGCAAGCCAAAATATAAAGAGGTGACTTTTACTCTCAATAAGATTTTATTTCCCTTCCACATCGATGGACATATTTTATAAAAAAAATGTTAACAAGCTTAAAGAACTTGGTTCAATTTTTTTAAATTTTAAGTTCAATTTTAATCATAATGTCGATGATATTAGTCTATCAGAATGCTTGAATTTCTTAAACGCAACTGCTGATACATACAACTTAACTCCTGAAAGTTTTTTTTTCTTCACTTGTTATGACGCATATTGAATATCGCAATGATACTAACATGCATAAAATTACCACACAGGCTTTAAAAGTTCTTGTTTAAGAACGTTCGCCTCTTATGTTTGCAATATTAATGTATCCACCTTGAGTCCTAGACAAAATTATTTTGATTCTCATTTATTTTACAAATGTGTCATAAGTATACCCTAAGTAATCTTTATTGATTCCCGTGAAATCATTACAGCGACGAGACAAAAAATTATCAGTGAAAAGATTAAAATACAAAAAAAAAAAAAAAAAAAAAAAAAAAAAAAAAAAAAAAAATTTTAAATTATAAAAAAGATAAATTTT